ATCTAGACCAGAGACCTCTGCAGAACATTCTCTATATTTGTGGACTTCTGTAGAACGTCTGTAAAACAACAGAATATATTATTCTCAAGTGCTCACTGAATGTTCTCCAAAATAGACTACATATTAGTCAATACAACAAGTCTCAATAAATGTAAAAGGTTTGACATCATACAAAATACGTTCTCAGACCAAAAGGAACTAAAGTTAGAAATCAATAATAGAGAAAATTTATGATATTCACTAATATGTAGATACTAAACAACACATTCCTAAATGACTGATGGATAAAAGAAGACATCAGAAGGGAAATTAGAAAACATTTTGAGATTAATGAAATGAAAACACAATATACCAAAACTTGGGATGCAGCAAAAACAGTGTTCTGAAAGAAAATTATAGCTACAAATGCCTACATTTAAAAAGAATAGATCTAAAATCAATGACCTAACTTTCCACCTTAAGAAACTAGAAAAAAATGTAAGCTAACCTAAAATAAATAGGAGGTAAACAAGAGAGATTAATGTGGAAATAAAAGAAATAGAGAATGAGAATAGAAAAACAATCAAGAATGTTAACAAAACTGTTAGATTTTGATTAACAAAATTGACAAAGCTTTACTTTAGTTTAACAAGAAAAAAGACAGAACACCCAAGTTATCAGAAATGAAAAAGTAGACATTACTACCAACCGTTCAGAAATAAAAACCATTATATGGGAATATGATAAACAATTGTATACTAATAAATTAGATAACAAATGGAAAATTCCTGACAAAGAAAATATCAAAACAGGCTCAAACAGTAATAGAAAATCTAACTAGACTGATAAAAAGGAGAAACAGTAAGTTAATAATGAAAAAAGTTTCCACGCACACAAAAAAATCATACCCAGATGGCTTCACTGGTGAATTCTATTAAAAAGATTAAAGATAAATTAACACATATTGTTTCCAAAAAGTAAAGAGGAAGGAACACTTCCTAACTCATTCTATGAGGGTAGTATTACCCTGATACCAAAACCACGCAAAGACTTCCCAAGAAAAGACAAATAAAAACTAATGCCCCTTATATATATGGATGCAGAATTTTGTTAAAATGCTAGAAAGCTAAATTTAGTATCTGAGAAAAAGACCATATCCATGACCAAGTAGAATTTCTCTTGAGTATATAAAGTTGGTTCGGCCGGGCGCGGTGGCTCAAGCCTGTAATCCCAGCACTTTGGGAGGCCGAGACGGGCGGATCACGAGGTCAGGAGATCGAGACCATCCTGGCTAACACAATGAAACCCCGTCCACTAAAATACAAAAAAATTAGCCGGGCGGGTGGCGGCCTGTAGTCCCAGCTACTCGGGAGGCTGAGGCAGGAGAATGGCGGGAACCCGGAGGCGGAGCTTGCAGTGAGCCGAGATCGCGCCACTGCACTCCAGCCTGGGCGACAGAGCGAGACTCCGCCTCAAAAAAAAAAAAAAAAAAAAAAAAAAAAAAAAAAGATGTATAAAGTTGGTTCAACACCTTAAAATCGATCCATGTAATACACCATACCAATAGAATAAAAGAAACAAATGCACAATCTTATTAGTTGATGCAGAAAAAAAATTGGCAGAATCCAACACCCACTCATGATAAATATACTCATAAACTAGGAATGGAAGGAATCTCGCTCAACCTGATACAGGTCATCAGTGAAAACTCCACAGCTAATGGCATGTTTAATGGTGAAAGAGTTAAAGCTTTCCCTGTAGGATCAAGAACAAGACAACTACTGTCAACACTTCCATTTAACATTGTACCAGAGGTTCTAACCAGGGTAATTTGGCAAGAAAATATAACAAAAGGCATCTATCTATATGGGAAATGAAGACAAAAAAACAAAAAAAGATATTTGCAGATCTTATACCTAAAAGAAAACGTTAAGGAATTCTTACGCCTGTAAAAAACTACTAGACATAATAAATACATTTGGCAAGTTTGCAAAATTAATAAACAAAAATCAGTTGTATTCCTATCTATTAGCTGGTATATGCTGGATTTTTCCCCCTCCAAATTCATATGTTAAAGACCTAATTCCCAGAACCCGAAAATGTGCCTGTAATTGGGAATTGAGCATTTAAAGAGGTGTTCAAGTTAAAAATGAGACCATTATGGTGGTTCCTAATCCAATCTCACTGCTGTCCTTATGATAAAAGAAAATTTGGACACAAAGGAAGATGTATACACAGAGAAAAGATCATGTGAGAACATGACCATTTATAAGCCAAGAAGTAAGGCCTCGGAAGAAACCAAAACTGCTGGCACCCTGATCTGGGACTCTTAGCCTCCAGAAATGTGAGTGTTTACACCACTCAGTCAGTGGTGTTTTGTTGTGGAAGCCCTAGCAAACTAATACGAGAGCCATTCGAAATCTACAAGTGGAATTAAGGAAACGATTTCATTTATAACAGCATCAAAAAGAACAAAATATTTAGAAATAAATATAACAAGTGCAATGCTAGTACATTGAAGCTACAAAAGTACATAACAATATTGAAATTAATTAAAGAAGAGCAAGATTAATAGAAAAATATCTCATATGCATGGATTGGAAGACTTCCTATTGTCAAGATGGCAACAGTCCCAAAATTAATCTGGAGGTTCAATTAAATCCCAATAAAAATTCCAACAGCCTCTTTTGGAGAAATGGACAATCGGATTCTAAAATTTATATGAAAATGCAAAGGACTCAGACTAGCTAAATCGATCTTGACAAAAAGAACATAGCAAGAGGACTCACACTTCCTTGTTTCAACTCTTACCAAAAAGCTACAATAACCAAAACAGTGTGGTATAAGGATAGACATATATATTAATGGGATAGAATTGAGAGTACAGAAAGAAACCTATATGTCTACGGCCAACTGATTTTCAACAATGATGTCAAGATCATTCAATGTAGTAACAATCTTTTCAACAAGTGGCTGAGACAATTGTATGTCCATATGCAAAAGAATAATTTTTGTTCCCTTCCTCACATTTTATACAAAATTTATATAAGATGGATCAAATATCTAAATATGAAAGCGAAACTACAAAATTCTTAGGAGAAAATATAGGTATAAATCAACGTTGGAATAGGCATAGGTTTCTTATACATGACACCTATAGTAGAAGTAACCAAAGAAAAATATATACATTGTGCTTTATCAAAACAAAATAAAATGTGCATCAAAGAACACTATCAAGAAAGTGAAAAGACAACCCATATTATTTCATTTCTTTCAGAAAATGTTTGCAAATCCTACATATTTTAAGAACCCAACATCCAGACTATGTTGAGAACTCGTACAACTCAACAATAAAAAGGCAATCCAATTAAAAATGAGAAAGGATTTAGAGAGAATCTTTTCCAGAGAAGATACACGAATGCGCAATAAGCCCAAGAAAAGATGCTTACCATCAATAGTCATCAGGGAAATGCAAATAAAAACCAGAATGTCATACCACTTCACACCAACTGGGATCACTGAAATTTTTTTTTAAATGAAAATTAACAAGTATTTGCAAGGATGAGGAGACACTGGAACCCTCATGCATTGCTGGGAAAGTAAAAAGGTGCAACCACTGTGGAAAACAGTTTGTCATTTTCTCACAAAGTTAATTGTAGAGTTACCAAACTGCTCATATGTTCACACAAATTGTGCTTGGATTTTTAAAGTCACATTATTCGTAATAGCCAAAAAGTGGGAACAACCCAAATGTCCAATAACTGATGGACTTCATATTTTTCCATAGTATAATTCAATGGAATATTATTGGAAATAAAAAGGAACAAAGTACAGATATAGTCAACAGCATGGGCGAATTTGAAAACATCCTAAGCAAAAGAAATCAGACACAAAAGGCCATATACTGTATGATTCCATTTATGTGAGCTCTCCAGAAGGAACAAATTCCCAGAGACAGAAAGTAGATTAGTGTTTGCCAGGGGCTGAGGAGAAATGGGAATGGGCAGTGATTGTTAACGGGTATGGGGTTTCTTTTTGGAGTGATGACATGTTCTGGAATTAGATGGTAGTCTGGATTTTACCACCTTGTGGGCATACTAAAAACCACTGAATAGTGTACACTTAAAAAAGGTGAATCTTAAGCTATGTAAATTATATATCAATAAAAATTTTGTAGAGATGGAAATAAAAAGACTGGAAATCTAGGGCAAAAGAAAACAGGATGAATGCAAGATGAGGAAAGGAAATTCAGTACAAGTCATGTTGGCGGACACTAGCAGTGGTGGTGCCTGTGGGAATCAGAGCAGTCCTGCCTCCAACACAAGAAGCCCTGTGATCTGTGCCAGGAGTAACAGCCTCCACTAGGGGCTCTGCAGAAGCACAATTTCTCCTGGGGCTGATATTTGAGAGTCAAATTTCCTGCAGTTTAGATATTTCCATCAGTTTAGCAAAATCTGGATAGGCTATAAGGCTGACAACTGTGTCCAAAGCAATAATCACTTGAGAACTTTTCCAGGTGCCCCATCACTCTGCATTGTACAGCATATTCTTTAACATGTTTATTTCATTTTTCAATTCACTAAGTGCTTGCTGAGCACTTGCCCATTTTCCTTTATTTGCAAAATGTAGGAATTTAACCTATCTTTGAGCACAATTTGGAAATAAGGTTTAAGTTTCTATGATACAATGTTGCCATTTAAAAATAAAGGTAACATAATGCTCCTACCCCCTTTTGAGAATATAGTGTTCCATTTTATTAACATCTTTTCTACTTTTTTTTTTTTTTTTACATTTTTATGTTTTGCTATTTACTGGTCAAAACCACTGTAGCTCATTCAGATTCAGAAAGGAGACTATAAACATGTATGCCATGTTAATGCAGGATATTGTTTCATTATGAATGTGCCTATATTGTTAATTTCATCTAAATAGTACATGCAGTATTTATAGGAGGCTAAAAGGCATAAAGTATTCTTGTATGTGAAATGCTCCAATTAAAAAGAGTTATGTTAGCTGTTAAGTAAGTTTTTAAAAGATGTTTATTCAATTCAAATGCAGAATTGATAAAATTTTCTCCTTAAAACTTTAAAGAACAAAAAGCTGGAATTACCCATCAACAGTACAATAGAATTCCAGTTTATTCTGAGAGCAGATCAGCCAAGATGAACAAACGAGTCTTGTAATTGCATACCAGAGGTCAAAAATTAGCCCTACCAAATGAGGAGGGAGAGGAATTGCTGAGACCTAGAAGAAAGGTCATAATATTTGGACTGAATAAAAGCAATTCACTAATAGCAATTTCCCTTTATCTGACAGCAATTGTAGAAAGTTTTAACAAATCCTGTTAAAATGGATGAAAACTATTTCCTGAATAGTTAAGAAAAGATTATAATAAATGTCAAGTATTCTACAGCATGTATAGAATCTCATTTCCAAGGGAGCATGCTGTTTTCTTCAGCATCCTGTTAGCCAAGTTCCAATTTTGGACAGGTCCTAGGAAACACAACATCGTTAAAGACAGAGATGAAACAAAGTGATTAATTGTAAGCACATTTCTATAGATAGTATTGCACTTGGAATGTGTAAAAATCTCTCTGAAGCTTGGTAGAGATAAGGGTTGTAAATAGATTTGAAATCCACACGGCAATAGATCACATGCTAATCTTTGCCCAAAGTTCTATGTTGTTGAGAATGATTCTGATATATTATTTTAAAGGAGAGAGTGTCGTATGAATTCCAGATCTTTGTCATGGACAAAGAATCTAAGTGCTATTCATTTGTGGTTCCTGATTCATTTGTTCTTTGAGAGATTAGCTAAAATGAAGGGAGTGGGTGAAAGAACCACCAATTCTTTTCCTGTGTCTACAGTAAATACAAACAGATCTCCAGCCATTACTACATCTCTCCCTCCTGTCAGATGGAAGATGTAACATCTTCCATGAACGCTTACTTTGTTACTACAAAATGGAAAGAGACACTTCTACTGTGGTGAAATGTATATGGCAAACCCAAATAATTTAGGCCACAAAATACCCTACTTTAGCCAGAATGATAAGAGTAATCTACTTTTTCCATTTCACTCTGAGCATACTGTCCTACATACATTTTATTTATTCCTTCCTTGCTACAATGTAAAGGCAGAATATACTTTTTAAAATAATTATTCATCAACATTTAAGACAAATGATCAAAGCTTGAGTTTATTGTTATACAATGTTGCTCTTTCATCTTTATTTCTGAACAGCAAATCTCATCAAGCATGATTGAGTTTTGCTTACTTGTATCTTCTCCCATACTTCTACATTTACTATGTGTATAGCTCTTCAGAATAAAATTAAGATAGGAGTAAACCAGTACAATTCAGCAGCATCAGCAACCTAACCAAACATATAAAAGTCTTTCCCGACTGACCCTGAATGACCATTTAGCCCCCTTTCAAATTTTGGCATCAAATTTCTACTTACAAAAAGTATATAGTTTCAATCAGGAGGGCAGAGCATTGATGACCGCAAGTAACAAGAAAAATGAACGCTACGAAGACGCACATAAAATAATAAAGGAAAAAAGCAAGAAAATGATAGCAAGGAGAGGTGGGGATTTACTTGTTGTCAGAGGAGGAAACACTTATTTTTCTACTGTGAAAGAAGGAGAAATAACCCAGTCTAAAAAAAGAGGTGCTTTCTTGAAATAGTTTCTGCTGGATTCCCCATTATTTTAGATATGATGGGAGCTGGAGTTGTGCAGAATATTTTGGGATGCTTTCCACATGGATTTATGATTCTCAAAAAGAATCAGCATCAATTAAACTATAGTTGACCCTTGAACAGTATGGGGGTCAGGGGAACGGACCCCCTACACAGTAGAAAATTCATGTACAATTTCGACTCCTCATAAACAACTACTAATACCCTACTGTTGTAAGAAAATCATAAGGAAGATAAAATATACTTACTGTTTATTAAGTGGAAGTGGATCATCAGAAAGACTTTCATCCTCATCGTCTTCACATTGAGTGGGCTGAAGAGGAGGAGGAAGAGACATTGAGTGGGCTGAAGAGGAGGAGGAAGAGGAGGGGTTAGTCTTGCTGTGTTAGGGGTGGCAGAGGAGGAAGAAAATCCATGCAAAAGCGGACCCTCCCAGTTCAAACCCCTGTTGTTCAAGGGTCAACCGCACAATCAAGTTTTGATGAGAAGATTCAGTTTTCAAACTTGATTTTAAGCAGGTATGTATCTAGGTACTCAAATTCAGATGTAATATTACATGGAATTTAAACACTCCTGGTTAAGCAGAAATAGAAGAATCGTCACCTAAGTAGAAAAATCGTTACCTAAGTAGAAATCAACCTATGAGAGGAAAGCTCAGGAAAGAGCCAGGGTACTGGCATAATAAAGAGTTGTAGGCATGGCATAATAAAGAGTTGTAGGCATGACATATGTTTGTGTTTATTCGTGTATGTCTGTCGTTTGAAATAAAGAGCAGACTGAGTATTGGATTAGGGGAAACATATTTCTTGTGAGAGAGCCATCCTTTGAGCATCACATTTGCAAAGGTAGATTGATTATCCGGATACACTTCCAGTGGGTTTTGCTGCAAGCTGAGACATCTATTGACAGCATCCATAGACTCTTCAGAGCTTGGAGTGGAAAGGAACTGGAACTTAGAACACATGGAAATTTGTTACGTGACTGAAGTGTTCTCTCACTTTTGCTTCGGAAACACTTAAAGCCACATACTTTGCGGTAGGCAATGTTCTACATTTATTAAATATACAGTTAACTCATCCAATCTGTTGCAACCACCTTATAAGGGCGTTACTCTAATTCTCTCCATTTGATGGATGGATAACTGAGGCTAGGAGATAAATTGCTCATTGCGGGGCAAGTGAAATTCCAGCCCAGGCTATCCGGGCTTTAGATCCTGTACTTTTAACCAATAGCGCTTTGCTTCTTTTCCTTGTATTTATCCCTTTCAAAAATGATTAACTGTATGCAAAATAATATAACTAACGACAGGGCCGGCAAGGGTTAACGCGGAAACAGATCCCCGAGCTGAAAAAACAAAAACAAACCGGGGAGCCAGATCCCCTGAAAGCCCCGGTAGGAAATTCAATGGGCCTCCTGTTCCTTTAAACTCTCGCTTTCGCCCCCGCTGACACTTTACAAAGCCGCGGCGGCAATGGCGAGGACCACGCTGCGGCGCGCCACCCTCCGCCACCCTCCCTCGCGGGGCTGGGGTCCGAGGGGGCTTCGCGGAGTCGGTAACCCAACTGGCTCTCGTTTGCTTTCTCCACACCCAGCCACTGCCAGACCCAGCCTCCGGGAGGGAGCGAGCTATGGTTAACCCTTTCGTGCCCAGGGAGACCCCGCCAGGGTTGGGGCGGGGCGCGATCGCCCCCCGCAGTCGGGCGCGAAGGCGGCCCGGGCTCCAGGTGGGTGGGGGGAGCAGTTGGCCGAGCTGCCCAGGACGCGCGAGCAGGGTGCGGCGATGGCGCCCAGGCAGCGCGGAGGTACCGCCCCGCGCTCCCCCGCTAGCTCCCCGGACTCGTCCCCTCTCCTCGCGCTCGGGGGCAGCCGGCTGCCGGGGGCGCGCGGGGCTGGAGTGGCCCTCTCCCTCCCGTTCGCTAGGCTACCCCGGCTTAATCTGTTGGCGGCGACTCCTCAGCCAGCCCCGAGGAAAGTGCAGTCATTGGACAGGTCGGTGCGGGCTGCCGGTTTCAGGGAGGAAGGTGGGAGAAGCCTGGAGGAGCGAAGGGGAGGGCGGAGGGAGGAGGGAGGAGGGTGCGGCGGCAGATCTGGCAAATTGCGAGCTGCCTTCCCTCCTCAAAGTGTGGAGCAGGAGCGCTGGGGAGCGTGGCGACGGCAGCGCCTCCTCCGCCACCAAACTCCTGGGGCTCCGCGGGGGCTTGGGGCCACCTCCTCCTGAGCCTGGAACCCTCTCTCGATAGGTTCTAGCCTGACTCCCTCCCACCCCACCCTTTTCCTTTCTTCTTCCTCTCTCTCTCTCTCTTTTTTTTTTTTTTTTAAAAAAAAAGAACACACATTTTTTTTTTTTTCCTGGCTTCGGACCTCAGACTGCTGCAGCCCGAACCTTCCCAGGGCTCAGCTCTTTGGAGCTGCCCATTCCTCCCGCTGCGAGAACGGACGCGCGCCCTGCGTCGGGCGAAGAAAAGAAGCAAAACTTGTCGGGAGGGTTTCGCCATCAACCTCCTTCCCGCAAACCTAAAAACCTCCTGCCGGGGCCATCCCGAGACAGAGGAAAGTTCCTGCAGAGCCGACCAGCCCTAGTGGATCTGGAGTAGGCAGCAGCGGCGCTGGCTGTGGAATTAGATCTGTTTTGAACCCAGTGGAGCGCATCGCTGGGGCTCGGAAGTCACCGTCTGCGGGCACCGGGGTGGCGCTGTCCGAGTGGAACCGACAGTTTGCGAGCCCCGGCTGCAAGTGGCCTTTCCTCCCCGCAGTTGTTGTTCAGAGTCGGGTGAGGGCTGCGAGTGTGGCAAGTTGCAAAGAGAGCCCCAGAGGTCCGGAGAGGGCTGCGCTCCTGCTCGCGTTCGCTTCTTCCTCCTCTCGGTTCCCTACTGTGAAATCGCAGGGACATTTACAAAGGCCTCCGGGTCCCACCGAGACCGATCCGCAGCGCTTGGCCCGGTCGCGCCTCTTGCATCGGGAGCCCCCGAGCACCGGCGAAGGACTGGCGGGCTGGGTAGGGAGGTGGCGGCGGCGGCATGGCGAGGTTCCCGAGGGCCGACCTGGCCGCTGCAGGAGTTGTGTTACTTTGCCACTTCTTTACGGACCAGTTTCGGTTCGCCGATGGGAAACCCGGAGACCAAATCCTTGGTAAGTAAGATGCACTTTGGCTTTTTGATTTTGTGCACAGCTGAAGACCTTCCTGGATCTCTCGTTCCCCCCCTACTCTCTCCCCCTACATCACCTGTCTGCCCTTGGGAAACTTATTGCAGTTGCTTTTCGGGTAAACTTAGGATTCCCAAATGGGGAAAAGAGGGTTAAAAAGAGAAGGACGCCGGGGACTAGGGGTTTTCTTGAGGCTTTCGGGCTTACTTCACCTGGGCGGCAGGGGGTGGTACTGTCTCCCCTAAGTAGCCCCGGGAGGGCTCCAGTGTGAGAGCAAGCTGCTTCTGTGGATACATCTCCTAGGACCTGGCATCCCCAGGCTGTGTGCTCTACGGCTCCTCCTCCTTCCTCGCTGCTGGTTAAACTAAGCGAGTGTGTGATGTGGGGTGGGTGGGGGACTTGGTGAAAGCCAGGGATTGCCGGTCTCCCCTCTGCATGAGAAAATTCCCTGTGGCAGCAGCTTCCTTCCCCTGGCAATCCCCAGTAGCTCTGTCTAGTGAACCCGGCCAAGCGGGCCCTGGAAGTGGGGCGGGGTAGGTGCGGCCGGCGCAGAGGTGGGGAGCAGGTGGGAAAGGTGGGGGCGGGCGCGCCTCTGGATGCTTACCCCTGCTCCCATTGTCCTCCGCCTGCCAGCTTCACAGACAGGCCTGAACGCGCAGAGGGTTCCTCAGAGTGCCCTGATTTTGTCCCCGGGAGGACCCCCAACCTCCGCATCCTCTTAGTGGCTGTCCTGGCAGGTGCGCGTCCTGCGGGGAGCCGCGCCCCGCGGACGATCGCCGAGCGGAAGGCGCAGGGCTGCCTCCTGGGACCCTGCCCACCGCGAGCTGGGTGCCTACTCCTCCCCATTTCTGCCTTTCAGTGAAGAAAGTGAAGACACAGGCAGAAAGAGATCTTGGCAGAAATTGGTGAATTCGGGTGGACTTCGAGAGGAGGTGAAACGAGAAAAAAAGAAAAAACTTGGAGGGAAAATAAAAGAAAACGAAAACTTACTGATTAAGATAATCAATTTGTTCTTTTCTGGGGTGTGTGTGTGTGTGTGTGTGTGTGTGTGTGTGTGTGTGTGTGTAATTTAAATGATTGCCCAGAAAGTATGCATGCGTCCTCAACAGTCAAACTTGAGAGTCACAGATGGAAGGCTGGGGGTACACCTGGGGATGCCAGGCAAGGTGAATCTTGAAGATCTTGAAGGAAACCCTTGAGTGAAATTTACCAAGCCGCGACTTAGAAGACAGTCACAACACTTCGCCTGTCCCTGGTGTAAACTGTTCTAGATAAAACACAGATACTGACTGTGCTCTTATTTATGGTTGGAGGGGTGTGTGTGTTGGGGTGTATGTGTAGGGAGGCAATAGGATGACAATACTTTTAAATCTGAGAATAAAATGCAGATTTCTTGGGTGTTGATTTGTCTTTGTCACATTTAATTGTTCTGCATTAATGGACATAGGTTGTTCTTGACTGTGTATGATTTATGACTGTAGACTATACCTTTTGTTTATTTCTCTGATATGTTTCACTGGTCGGAAAAAAATAACACTTTTAGCCTTCCAGGAAAGAACACATTTATTTAAAAATTGCAACAGCAATTTTCATGTACTTATTCATGGTATGAATAGATGCTTAATGAAAACAATTTATTCCACCACAAACGAGGCTAAAAGGATGTGTGTGCCAACTTGCATCCCAAGTTGTTTATTTAAAAACTTCTTTGGCACTAGGAATAAATACTGCATTTGCAGTAAAAATAAATAAATAAATGCCAGCAAATGTTTATCTTTTTATAAACCTTTTCCAGTAATGTTACTGAAAAAAGAATATATGTACACACACACACAGATACACACACACACACACATTTGCTATGCCAAGAAGTTCAGAAATTGAGGATGAAATTCATCCCGAAGTAAGATTGGCCATATAATTAAAAGCTCTTGCTGTGGGAAATATAAAATACTTAAAATGTTCAACATCAATGTACTGGTATTTTAAGCTAGTTGAATATTTCTGATGAGAAATATACTCTAGAAGCCCATATATTGATAGGATTGATTTTTAAAAGAATGGTTTTAAATTCCTTGGCAAATTTTCGAAGACTTTTATAAACCGAAGTAGCTTCTTTCCTGGACATCAATTTACATGTAGTTTTAAGAAGAAAATATTGTAATTAAATGGTTAGCTTACTGAACATATAAAAATGGCAAGGTGAAACAGAAAAAATACACAATTTTTTTTGTAAAATAGTCTATATAAAAGTTCGATATGGGGGGAAAAGTCCAACAGTCTTGAAATTTGGCACACAACAATCAGGATTTTTATTACAGACATTTTGGCACAGGAGAAATATCTGATTTCATAACCGGGACATTTTATTATGCATTACTTTAGTAAATGCTGCAGTTGATTTTATTGCCACCAGAGGGCAGAGAAACTGCTAATTTCCTCTATTACCTTTTCTGTTTTAGAGGGAAGTGGTTTATCATATAATTTACGCTTATTTTAGTTGTTCTTTCTCTGGTTAAAGATTTTTTCTGTTATTTCCTGCTTTTGTTGGAGTTAAACAATTTACTTTGAATTATTACTAATTTGTAGAGTTTGTTATGAGAGTGTTGCTGTTGAGACATAATCACTAAAGTTTGTTTGCATATAAACCTAGAGCAAAATAGTATAATAGAGGGGTTAATTCAAGTGAATATTTATTATAAAATGGACATCTGTCCATATTGTTGGACAAAGGACAGGTTAATTATTTTATCAATCAATGACTTGAGGCTACATGCAAAATTTTAAAAATATGAAATGTGAGTTTCTTTTTCCTTTAGAGAATAGATACAAGTTTTGAAGCTTGAGGTTAGGTAAGTTTGGACTGAGACATAATTGTGTAGAACATTTATGTCAAAGATAATGTTTTTGTTTGTTCATGAATGTCTGCATAGAGGTTTGGAATTATTATTATTATTATTTTGAGTAGGAGTCTCACTCTGTCACTCAGGCTGGAGTGCAATGGCACAATCTCTGGCTCAATGCAACCTCTGCCTCCCGGGTTCAAGCAATTCTCTTGCCTCAGCCTCCTGAGTAGCTGGGATTACAGGCGCCCACCACCACGCCTGGCTGTTTTTGTATTTTTAGTAGAGACAGGGTTTCACCATATTGGCCAGGCTGGTCTCAAACTCCTGACCTCATGATCCACCTACCTAGGCCTCCCAAAGTGCTGGGATTACAGGCTTGACCCACCGCACCCAGCCTGGAATTATTATAATCAGGAGAATTTGCACATTTCAGTGTGATCTTCAGAAATAAACTCTTGTCAGGGAGAATGTATTTGAGTAAAACTTAATAATGAAAGATTAATTTTGCTCCAGACAGGTTTCCTTACTACAAGAATCAGATACTGTCATGCAGAGATGTAGAAAATATGTATCCTTATCAATTAGTTTTTGTCATTTTTTCCTAAAACTATCTCCTATTGCAGAAACATTATGTTTTTAAAGAGGAATGAGTTGATCAACAACCTTGATCACAGGATCTAAAGTCTTCAGCTGCAGACTGGGCGCCGTAGCTCACACCTGTAATCCCAGCACTTTGGGAGGTCGAGGTGGGCAGATCACCTGAGGTCAGGAGTTCGAGACCAGCCTGGCCAACATAATGAAACCCCATCTCTACTAAAAATACAAAAATTAGCCGGGCGCGGTGGTGGACACCTGTAATCCCAGCTATACTTGGGAGGCTGAGGCAGGAGAATCGCTTGAACCCAGGAGGTGGAGGTAGCAGTGAGCCGAGATAGCGCCATTACACTCCAGCCTGGGGGGGTGACAAAGGGAGACTCTGCCTCACAAAAATAAAAATAAGTAAATAAACAAACAAATAAATAAAGTATTCAGTTACTTCCTCATCACATTAAATACATTCTCTTCTCCATGGTCTTCAAGGCCATTGCAGTGTGGCCTCAAGCACTTTCCCACCCTCTCCCCTGCCTGTTCTTGAATGCTCTCACCAGATGAGCTGCTGGAAGTTCCCTGAGTGTGTACCATGCATTAACACTTCTGCCATTCCTCCTGCTCTTTCTTTTCTAAGTCCGTCTCCATCCATCCATTTTCCAATTTTTCCTACAGATTTATCTCAAGTGACACTCTCCACAAAAGGACGTGTTGTCTTAGAATTCTCAGTGCACTTTCTGCCTTTTTCAAAGGCGCTTGCTTGATACTGTAGGGTTTCCTTTTCTTTCCGTTTCTGCCTCTCTCTCATGTATTCCATTAGACCAGACCATGCGTCCCTGAGGTCAGGGTCTGCTGTCATTTATTTCTGAATCTGCTGTGGCAACTACCAATAAATAGTTGCAATAAATGGTTATTGGACTTAAGTGAACTGAATAGAACTATAGTTCAAGCTGAATTATTAATTTGAATGCCACCTTGGGAGACTTTTAAAATAATTCCCATGCTGAGAGTTTGTCCATCAATAGGATAGAAATAAATTTAAAACTAACTTTAGAGAGTAATTGTTGAAACCAAAGCACAAGATCCAAAAGTCTGCTAAACTATCCTTCTACTATTAGGTGGGACTTTCAAAAATTCATTCGCCCATTCTTCTATCCTGCTGGTTTCTGAGTGAATGTTCACTCATGTTCTTAATCTCATATCTTTTTTTCTTTTATACATTTCTTTAAAAAATTTCTTTGTTTTAATTTTTAATTTTTAATAATATGTATTTAAGCTGTGCAACATGATGCTTATTTTCAAATTCTATGTATAAGAGAAAATCAAATTGCATTTGTATTTCTGTGTCTGAATTATTTTACTTAGCACAATGTCCCCCAGCTTCATCCTTGCTATCACAAATAGCAAAATATTTTTTAAGGCTAAATAATATTCCATTGTGCATATATATATATGCACTATATATGCAATATATAGAATACATATGCACTATCTATGCAATATATAATATATATGAAATATACAATATATATGCACTATATATGCAATTTATATGGAATATATATCCAGTTATTCATCAATGGACACTCAGGTTGTTTCCATATACTGGCTATTGTGAATAATGCTTTAGTTAACATAAGAGTGAAGATACGTCTTAAAGGGGCTGATTTTCTTTAGATATATATCCAGAAGAGAGATTGCTGGCTCATATGGCGGGTTTATTTTTAATTTTTTGAAGCAACTTCATATTGTTCTACATTCCCACCAACAGTGTGTAAGGGTTCCCTTTTCTCCACGTTCTCACCCACACTTACCATCTATTGTCTTTTTATTTTTTTATTATACTTTAAGTTCTAGGGTACATGTGCACAACGTGCAGGTTTGTTACATATGTATACATGTGCCATGTTGGTGTGCTGCACCCATCAACTCGTCAGCACCCATCAACTCGTCATTTACATCAGGTATAACTCCCATTGCCATCCCTCCCCCAACCCTCCTCCCCACAATAGGCCGTGGTGTGTGATGTTCCCCTTCCCACGAATGATCTCATTGTTCAATTCCCACGTATGAGTGAGAGCATGCGGTGTACAGTAGCCATCTTAATATTAGTAGGTGTGACATGATACCTTATTGTGGTTTTGATTTGCATTTCCCTAATGATTAGTGATGTTGAGGACCTTGTCATATACCTGTTGGCCATTTTTTTTTGTCTTATTTGGAGAAATGTCAATTTTTAGGCCCTTTGCCCATTTTAAAATCAGTCATATGCCTTAAACCTTCTATTGATAGATAGGACTTTCAAAAAGTTTATTCCACTATTCTCCTATACTGCTAGTTTCTGGCTGCATATTTACTTATATTTTTAATTTAATATCTTAAAATACAGTATACATATATATGTACATATGGATACATATATGGTGGTTGTGATGTTTCATTTCACTGAAGCTGAAGACTACTAAATAATTTTGATTATTTTTGAGATTGCTTTTGAATTAAACTGTCTTTAGGCCTCATGCCACTAAACTATAATGAAGGAGGCTTTAGAAATA